GTGTGTGTGTGTGTGTGTGTGTGTGTGTGCCCAAAATATCTCTCACCATTTCTCTGATAGGAATTAGTTTTCTAACATAATTGCACTGCACAACCAAACTTGGTTTATATGTAAATGCATGTGTATATATTTTTATTTTAATGGTATTTGTATTTCAAGATGAGTCAAACATTATGATCAGCTGACGGAAGATCCACCAATAAATGAGGGCCGTGTAATTACTGGAGTTTCTTTGGCTGCACTGAGACGAATGACACAACGATTACAAGGTTTACAAAATACATATAGTTTTATTTTCTTACCTTTATTCTAAGTATTGATCTTCTTACATAAGACAAACACACACAGACACACAACGTGTTAAACACACACTGTGATAAACTGGCCTCCAGACCTCATGTGAACAGTGTGTCAGACGACCAGTGTGAGTGTGTGATCTGTTTCCTACTGCTCCACTGACCTGACACACACACACACACACACACACACACACACACACACACACACACACACACACACAGAGGAGCCCAGTTAAAGGGCCGAGGGAGGGAGTTGTTATTCTGGTAGCATGAGCTCAACTTATCTCTGTTGGAGCAGTGTGGTGGTGAATGTGTCACAGGATTGACATAATATTACTCTCACCCTAAACTTCTCAGTGAATATGTCCTCGTAAAGTCAAAACGTCCTCACAAAGTCAGAATGTCCTCACAAAGGTGGCACTGAACCAACCCAGGCCCTCAGAACTATAGATACACACACACACACACACACACACACACACTGTGTATTTATGACAGTGACCTGGACGAGCGTTACCTGTAACATACCAGAGAGAATTCTAACAGACTGGTTGTGTGTTTCATTTCATCCAGTTTCTGAAGCCTGATATGTGACTGCTGATGGTTTCAGCTGGTAAAGGTCACAGCGCCTCCTGCTGGTTGGAGCTTCACACTTATTCTGTCCATCTACTTCACAAAGGATCTGCTGCGGTCCTCAATTATACGTGAATATAAAAACGAATTCAGTGAGTGGCCCTGGTATAATCTATGGAACATGCAGTGAACCAGCATAAATGACCTAATCACCTGAAACATGAAAACCTACAATATTCAACCCCAAAGTCCCAAATTAAGACGAAAAAGTCCAGGTTCAAGTCTCGTGTCACAAACAAGAAGAAACAAATCCTGTTTCAAGATCAAGTCCAGAGTCTAAACCAACAAGTGAACACAACTAATCAAAAAACAAGTCGAAGGTCAGTAAAAACAAGAACTGAGACAAGTCCCAGTCCTACCATGAACGAGTGCAGCTCATGGGGCCCCTGAAAAAAAATACGTTTAAATGATCTAGATCCAGATTTAAAGTCTGGAGTTACACATTCTTGTGCCAAATTACAAACAGTGATAAATATCCTCATCCCTTTAACATGTCCGTTTCTTTAATCCAGGTCAATTCATTATTCTCTCAGAAAAAAATTTAATAAATTAAAATTCTGGATTCCACACCAGAATTCACCAGAGTACTTTTCTGAAACATGTTTCCACCAAGTTCTGTGGTAACTTGTCCAGTAGTTTTTCCCGATTCAGTGAATTTAAATGTAGTTTCATTAGAGGGCCTCAGAGATTTACTTTACAAATTATCTTTATATTTCTCTTGTTATGCTCTCTCTCTCTCTCTCTCTCTCTCTCTCTCTCTCTCTCTCTATATATATATATATATATATATATATATTTATACATTGATAGTTTAAACAATAATCATTAATTTTGCAAATTTAATAAAAGGTCTTGTGTGCAGACATCAGTGTATCATAAATTAAAGCTACTGCAGCAAAGACAGATGCAAAGTAATTGCATTGAACTGTCTCATCATTAGCTGTAAATGTTTTATCATGAAGTATAAACTGTGTTACAGTAACAGTGCTGCAGTACATGTACAGTTAATATCCAGCTGTGAGTAAAATGTTTCTGCAGTAACATCCACACCACACACAACACAACCGATGGAGTGTAGGTCACGTATAACTCGTACTGGGTGTGTATGTGCTCCGAGCGTACACAACAGACAAGTGAAACAGGAAACTACAGCTTCTGATTGGCTGAGACTCAGACACACGGATCCGACAAATTTCACAAGAGCACAGAGACGCTGAGCTCCTCCTTCAACACAGGCCCTCTGTCTTTTTCCTTCCTGTCGTCACCTTCCAGAGGAGAAAACTGTGTTCAGTCTCAACATGTACTGTGATACTCTGATCCAGGAGCAGCTCTGCCCACAGCGACTCTTTCAAACGTCCAACTCAAACTGAAATCTGTCTTTTTACACGACACTTCTTCATTTTCCATAGAGTTGACTCAGAGTGACAGAGTCTCTCCGTCATTAACAGGGAAACATTTGATTCGGGGACTGAGACGATTCCTGAGTACATGATACATTTAATGAGTGTGTGGTCAGTGTGGGGGCGGCACGGTGGTGTGGTGGTTAGCAGTGTCGTATCACAGCAAGACGAGCAGGACTTTTTCTGTGTGGAGTTTGTTCCCCCTGTGGTTTCGTACTCCGACTTCCTCCCACAGTCCAAAAACATCTCCATGTACTACAAGGCCACTTACAGTCGAGCTCATACCTCCACCAAGGCCCAACTGTCTCCTGGTGAAACATTCACCACATCCACATTTTTATTTGGATCTGCACAAACTTGCAAACACTCATAGAAACATGTGTTTCTCCTTTTTTTTAATTAATATTGGATGGAATGAAGAATAACTTCCTAACTTCGTCTTTTTTTTTCTTTCCCTTCTCTGTTTAAGTTTGGTTGTGACCTTGAGCCGAAGTGAAAAAACTCACAGAGGCTGATAAACACACACCTGCTCAGCAGCCACACATGAACACGAGCACACTCTGTTCAAATAATAAAATCATGTCCTCTGTTTTTAAATGTGCAGAAAATATTTGGCTGATCTGGTGACGCAAAAACTAAGACGTTAGTAATTCTCAAATAAAGCCTGTCCCTCAGTCAAGCATTTGAAGAAGTGGGGACCAGATTAATGTCCTCACTTTGTCCTGAACTTCTCAAACTTTCCAGAATGTCCTCACTTTCTAGTTTTCTACACTTTCAAAAATACAAATACAATATTTACGGCATGAACAAATGTCATCACGTTTGACAAAGTTCTGTACTTTATTGTAAAAGGTGTGAACTTGGTGCAGTTATTCATGAGAGTGGTAAAATGACAGTTAACGCTCAGACGCCCCCTTCTGGTGAATCAGTGTCATATAAAACTGAGGCCTGATGTTTGGTGTCAGTCACATCTGCATCAGTGAACACAACGAGAAGATAAATACATTTTGAATTAGCTTTTATATATTAAAGAAACCCTGTAAATACTAACGTGAAAAGAAATAGAAAAAAGGTGGAAAACTTTTCATTTGAATTGAGAGAACTTTAACATATTTTTCATATTAGATTAAGTAAAAACTGGTTGTTCCCTCAGTGGACGGGAATCTTTTCAGATGCAAAGTAAACTTTTTAAATTCAGACGGTGAACTTTTTATAAATTGTGGGTAATTTAATGAATGAATTAATGATTTTTTCTGCAGACTATTATTTGTTTCTCATTAGAAGAACCGTAAGGAAACCCAAAAGCCTGTTTTCCTTAGTGATTTTTTTATTACTTGTGTATGTTTGTGACTTTATATTCAATTAAATACAAAATTTGACAACCTGGACTCTGTGGTTTGAATATTTCCCTTGGTATGAACATTGTGCAGCTTCAGTGAAGAGCTGGAACAACTTCATACACAATTTGAAATGTTTGGTACCGTAAGGAGACATTCAGTTGTCAGGAGGCAAAGAAGATAAAATAACTTTAATAAACACCGAATGAACCAGTTCCCCTCAGATCAGATCAGGCTACAAAATCATAATTTGTTCTTTGTGTTGTCAGAAGAGAAAAAAATAAAACCTTATGCTCCAGATTTAACAAAACTTCGCTGTCAGACATAATGAAATAGTCTCTGTGGTCATTAATTAAGGTTTGTAGTAAATTATGTTTTAAAATTCATCACTGATGCAGCTTCTAACTGAACAAAAACATTTTCTTCCTTTCGTGTCATAACCAATGTGAACGTATTACCGATCCTTACAGTTACTTTGTGACTCAGCTTTTCTTCTGTGGAGCAGATGATGGATCCTGTTTCTTTCTGTAAACGTCTCGTCACGTCTGAATAAAGCTGTAACGATCGGAGCTCTTATTCTGAATGACATGAAGTCGCTTCAACGGCAGAAATGTAAAAACTGTTTTTATCTTATCAGTCCACTCTCCTGTTCTCTGTCTGTCTCTGCATCATTGCTCCTGTTTTTCTCCTCCTCCTCTTTCTCCCTCTCCTCTTGTCTCTTCTGCTCCTCCTCCAGCTCCTGCTGTTCTTGGATGTAGGCCTTCTTCAGTTTCTCCTCCACGTCCTCAGGAATCTCCACCTCCATCAGATTCTCCATCCCCGTCTCCGGCTCGTCACCTATCAGCACCTGGAGGGAGGAAAGAAGAAAGGTTTGCAATCACATCAATCATCTCTGTAATAAGGGAATTCATCATTACAATAAAATCACAACGAGATATTTTCGAGTTCACGTATACGACACTGAATATCTTCCCAGTGTGATTACATCATTCCTACCTGGATCAGCTTTTCAGCAGTTGCTGCGATGTGAACATCCTTCTCCCACCTGTGATACTCTCTCATGATCGGATAAACGTTCTTTTCTTTTAGTGTTTGTCGACCATCTTTGGTTGCTGTCAGCTGCACGAGAGACAAACAAGCTCAACGTGAAACCACAAGTTTATACATAGTGTGTGTGTGTGTGTGTGTGTGTGTGTGTGTACCAGTAACAGTGTTTCCAGCAGCATCTTTCTGATGTCAGGGTCTTCGTCTCTTTTCTTGTCCTCTGGCAGATACTGCAGGTCCACAGGTAAACCTGAGCATCACATCAATATAAATAAATTCATTATTACCTCTCCCTCTCTCTCTCACTCACACATTGATAGATCTTATTTATAACAGCACGTAAAAACTACAAGCAGAAACCTGTGTGACACTGAGTTGACAAGTTTAACAATAGAGAGACATTCTGACCTTCATTGTCTTCCTCTGACAGCTCCTCTGGACCGGCCAGCGGCAGCAGGAGGAAGGGCAGGATGTCCACAGCATCACTCAGCAACCACTCATGACGGCCTGGACACAGTGAGGACGTACCGGACACAGTGAGGACGTACCGGACACAGTGAG